GTACAAGTCACAGATCACAATACACACATACGCACTTGTACTGTACCGGCCAGGCAACAACACAAACCTCTCTTCGCAATGGGTGTGCCAGCGGATGAAGCGTATGAGATCCCGCACTACTTCGCTGTGGGTTTGCGTGTAACGTTTCAGTCTCAGAGACATCCAGATGTCCCGCTGTGTGTTGATGTAGTTCTGCTGACACTCCGCCAGTACATCACCGCTTAGGCCGCTGTGAGTATCAATCAATCACAATATCAGTGAGTGTGGGAGAGATGCATGCGTAATAACGTATATCTATCAGTATATATAGTACTATATGTAGAACCATGTATACACCCATCAACCAATCACATCAGTGAGTGCGAGAAAGGAGTATGCGTATAAACGTATATCTATCAGTATATATTACTATATATAGAACCAAAAGGACATCCATCAACCAATCACATCAGTGAGTGTGGGAGAGATGCATGCGTATAAACGTATATCTATCAGTATATATTACTATCTGTAGAACCATATGGACATCCATCAACCAATCACATCCGTGAGTGTGGGAGAGATGCATGCGTATAAACGTATATCTATCAGTATATATTACTATATGTAGAACCATATGGACATCCCTCAACCAATCACATCAGTGAGTGCGAGAAAAAAGCATGCAACCGAATGTGTATCAGTATATATTACTATATATAGCCATATAAAACGTATGCGTATCCGTATAAAATACTATGTATAGCCATATAAAACGTATATGTATCCGTATAAAATACTATATATAACCATATAAAACGTATAGGTATCAGTATAAAATACTATAAACAACCATATAAAACGTATATGTATCAGTATAAATACTATATAGAACCATATAAAACGTATATGTATCAGTATAAATACTATATATAACCATATAAAACGTATATGTATCAGTATAAATACTATATATAGCCATATAAAATGTGTGTATCAGTATATATTACTATATATAACTATATATACATCCGGTATTCGAACGTTTGTATGCGCCTGCCTGTGTTGAAATATACATACACACCAGTAGGAACAGGTGACTACAGACAGCGTGCATACACACAACGTCCTGTGTTAGAATGAAAACCATATAGGTGTATTAATTCAATACACGTACATATGCACAGATGAATACAAACAGCGTGCATGAACACAACGTCCTGTGTTAGAATAAAAACCATATAGGTGTATTAATTGAAATACACGCACATATGCACAGATGAATACAAACAGCGTGCATGCACATAACGTAATGTGTTCCATATAGTTGTATAAGTATAAATACCCGCACTAGGCACAAGTGGCTACAAATAGCGTGCATGTACATGTACACAACGTCGCCCCGAGTATCTGTGATTCGCCTTGTGTCATCAACGCTACACCAACACGTCACATAAGCCAACCATGCAATGTGTCCTGTACCATGGAGTCATAGACTGCCATACGCTACAACACGTACATGCACACCACAGCTACAACACATACATATAAACCAGAGCTACGCGTGTACCTCATCGTATCACAACAGATACATGCACAACACAGCTACAACAGATACATTTAAACCACAGCTACGCGTGTACCTCATCGTATCACACAACAACCACAACCACAACCACGTGACCGTCGATTTCACCCTAAACCCTAGAAACCACGTGACCGTCGATTAAACCCCAAACCCTAAAAACCGCGTGACCGCCATACCCTTTGGCAGAGGTGTGTGGGTTGCTAAGCAACAGCAGATCCGCATGGACCTTCTTGTGCAGCTCTGTGACGCGCACACTCGCGCCCGTCCTCTCAACGGTGTACGCAACACCAGCCACGGGATCTGAGTCACTCATACGATAGATAACCATGTCAATGGATGTGTGAATGTATTCCCTTTGAACATGCTAATGAATGTGTGAATGGATATCCTTAGAACATGTTAATGGATGTGTGAATGGATTCCCTTTGAACATGCTAATGAATGTGTGAATGGATATCCTTGGAACATGTTGGTAGATGTGTGAATGGATATCCTTAAAACAAGCTAATGGTTGTGTGAATGGATATCCTTGGTCCATGCCAATAGTTGTGTAAGTGTGATGGTGCAAGTTTCAGGTAGTTACGGGCGTGTGGGTATATATCCTCGGTTCATGTCTTGTAGTACCAACACTATGCAGGAGCACAGTTTCTCCGCCAGCGGTAGATCGGCTGAGCTTGAGGCGATGGCAGTACCTTTGGCGTGCCTGTCGGAGTGTCTGTTTAAAACTACGTAGTAGTGATCATATGTCATGATCGTATGACAAATATATGCTTATATTCACGTTGGTTGCA